TGTCATTGGTGTCCCCTAAGGGCATGCTGGGGAGGGTCAGTGGTGTCTCCTACGGCAGTGCTTGCATGGGGATCCGCAGTGTCCCATAGACCAGCGCCGGGGGCTCAGCAGGTCCCCTGTAGCTTTTGCTGGGCCAAGGATCAGTAGTGTCCCCCGGGGCAGGGCCGGGGCCTGGCAGTGTCCCCCGGGGCAGGGCTGGGGTCAGCCATGTTCCCCGGGGCTGTGCTGGCAGTCAGCAATGTAGCTGTAGCACTGCAGGGGGTCAGTGTTTTACCCTGTGGGCCAGTGGCATAGGGGGTCAGATGTGGCCCTTATGGCTTCAATAGGGATCTGTGGGGTCCCCTATAGCTGTGCGGAGTGCAGCAGCTGGGGGGGTCTGTGGTGATCCCAGCTTTGCTGGGAGGGATGGGTCAGCAGTGTGCCCTGTTAGCAGATCCCATACAGAAACTCCAATACTACCACGACTCATCTGCTGAGGCTTTGGTAGGGTCCGTCCTCTCCTGGACAGAGGCTTTGGGACCTCCCTACCACCAAGACAGGCCCTGGAGGTTGCTGTGTGACTGGGGATGGAAGGCCCTGCTGTGGTGGGGATGCTGGCACATTGGTCAGGCACTTGGCCCTAAGATGGCCTTACATGGTCCTCTTTGGAGTGGGGGAGCCTCTCCTCCTGCTGCCTTGACCCCAAATCAGGGCCACAGCCTGTGCCAAACCCAGTCAGGGCTCAGGCGGGGCAGGGGAGTGGTGCTGGGCTTCAGCTGGAGCAACATGGAGTAAATTTGCACTGCAGTTGCACTGCATACCTGAGATGTCGGGTGTTTATCTTGCTGTTCTGATGTGTGGGATCTTTTACAGGGATGCTCAGCTCTGACTTTTACCCTGACAGACCCATTTGTGATGGCAATCTGTTGCTGAACCCTTCCGTTTTTCCTTCCAGAGGTGGGGGTGGAAATACAGGGCAATGCCTATGAGCTTGATTTACATCCTTAATAGCAAGGACAAAGAAAAGGTCAATGAGTTTGGAGGTCTGTAGGAAAATGTTACATCAAAATTTCTCCTGTGGGGGCGGTGATGCTTCTGATTTCTCATGCCTGTGGTCCTCCTGAATCTCCCATCTGCAGTGAGGATCAGGAGCAAGGTAATCCTGCAGCATCTGCAGCCAGAGGTGAACCTCTGAAATTCCTTGGTCCGAGCGGGTCATGGTGCTGCTGCTCCCCTCGGCTCTGTGAGTTGCTGCCAGTGCTGTGTGTTGCTTGTGGGCTGGATTTGAGGAGTGAGTTTTTCAGTAGACTTGTCCTTCCCTTTCTCAGAGACATGAAAGGTAATGATGGCCTGGGAGGTCTTGTTCGCATCTTACTCTGAAGAGTTTGGTAAGGCAATACAAGAGTAACTTCTCTGGTGTTTTGGGGATATCCCTCCTTGAAGAGCATGTCTTTTTCTGAAGTCTGCTGGACTCTCAATTCCTCTCTTACTGGGAGTGGGACATGTTGCCATGCACAGAGGGTGTCTAAAATCACCAAAGACCTTTTCTGACCTTTTTGTCATGTGCTCCTTTCCATTTGTAAGCAGGGCAGGCTGGCAAACAGATGACATTTGTGATGAGTGTTTTGCGTCTCAGACTTGGCCTCCTTTTCTCCCCACAAGGCTTCAGCCGAAGGCTTCAGGATGTGTTCATATCTGACCTGTTTTCCTTTACTGACCTGAGTCAGGCAGGATTGCCTTGAGGCCAGCCTGGCTCTGAGTGAGTACTGGGTTGTTAAATGTGGATCACAAGGAGAAAAAACTTGCATTCTGGCTTTGAGTGTCAGATTTCCTTGTTTCTTCGTTGGATTTGGTGACGTTTTGTCTGGGATGTTGATGAGAGGACTGGACAGACGAGATTAATGTAGTCACATGGTTCATTTGATGAGATTAACTCATTATAATGTATTGGCTTTGTCCTGCAATGTCTTGTGCCTCATGTAGTTGATCCGCTGACCTCCTTTGCAGGACTGTTGTCCAAACAGGCGACCGCTGCCTGAATGTGCATTGCTTATGTCCTTTCAGACCTTCTGCAGTCCCATGGCGACGTACCTGGAGTTCATCCAGCAAAATGAGGAGCGTGATGGAGTGCGTTTCAGCTGGAACGTGTGGCCCTCCAGCAGGCTGGAGGCCACAAGGATGGTTGTCCCCCTGGCCTGTCTTCTGACCCCACTGAAGGAGCGTCTTGACCTGCCACCTGTGCAGTATGAACCGGTGCTTTGTAGCAGACCAACGTGCAAAGCAGTGCTCAACCCACTCTGGTATGAATTTCTTGGCTAGGGATGTTAAGAGAGGCTGGATAGTACCTAGTTTTTATCTGAACTTCACTACTTCCTTATTCCCATTTTTCTCTGCCTGGTGCCTGGCAGCCTCTTTCATTTAGATGTAGTGGGTTTGTTAAAATCCATGCATGCCTAATGACATACGTTGAATGCCAGCCTGTTAATAGAGCTGCCAGAAGCAAAGGAGAGAGGAGTGCCTTGGGGGAGGCTATTGAGGCAGAGATGATATGGAAATGGCCAGTCCTCTTACCATCCCAGAGAATTTTGTGATGAATGATGAAACTTAAAATAAAGGAAGATGCTGATTATACTGATATTGTCCTCTGGGCTGTGACGTTCACTTGGTTTCCTGCTTCCTACACATGCTGGTGCTTGTAGGTCGGCTCCAGTATGAGCATCAAGGTTTTCTTTGAAGTTTTGCTGAGAATTTAAGAGGAATCATCTCAATCTCAAAATCATGTGATGATCATACATACTCGAAGCATAGCATTGGGCTGCGAGAAAGCAGGGAAGGCCAGTAAGAGGAAGGAAGAAGAGATCAAGCCCATGAAATAAGAATGTGGCCAGCTTTACTGCACAAGCAGTTACAGGATGTCGTAACGGGCTGAGGAGAGTAAACTGCTTGGGGCGGGGAACAGCCTGTTTGTTCAGTGTTTATGCAGGATGTCAGTGAATAGCTCCTGCTGCTCCGTGACTGGAGTACTTGTGTGCTACACCTGTACAAACAATAAGATGACTGAGATAAGCCCAAGTGTAGTGAAAGAATGATTAGACCCAAGTCTTTGTCTGCCAAAGGCTGAGCTCTGGAGAGCTGTCAGTGGTCCGTCATGCTGACAAGCCTGGACGTGGCAGGGCTGGATGAGCTAATGGACTTTCTGGCAATAGCACAAGAGCCTGAATCCCTAAACCTCTTGTTGTTCAAGTTGGAGTGTCTGATATTCTGTTTCTTCCTCAATGCTCTGAACCAGCATAGATAATTGTGAAGCTATGCTGTAAAATTGTTCCTATAGTTATACTAATGCCTCGTCTTTCCCTTGCAGCCAAGTTGACTATCGGGCCAAGCTCTGGGCTTGTAACTTCTGTTTTCAGAGAAATCAGGTAAGTTGGGAAAGCATCAGCCCTTCCATCTTTTCAGTGAACATTTTATTGGTGGCCTCCTCTGGCAAAGGATGTTAAGCATAAATTCCACTTTTCTAGATTCCTTCCCTTGGCCTTTTTCTCTTGCTGAACCCAGGCCAGAGTACTTGTTAATGGCTCTGTTTTACCTGACATCTTGTCTATTTTCAGTTCAGTTTTGCTAGTGATTTTACCAGCATGCAGGACATAGGAAGGAGATAAAAATGCTATTTTGTCCCATGTATTTCCAGTGTGTTTTTTGCACTTGGTGTTTACTGTTCTTGCTGAGTATGAAATTAATTAGATAAATGAATTTCAGGTACCACATAGTTGCTGCTTTAGACCTACCTTTTATTTACACTGGATTGAGCAGCTGTCCGTACTGCTGGCCGCTTGTTGTCTGTCCTTAGGAAAACAGCAGTATGGGTCTCTTGTCATGAATTAATCAGTTTGGTGCAGTGGCAGTAAGTAGAATTGAATAACACTGTGAGCAGGGCAGCATCTGTACTGCAGAGGAGGGTCCTATATTTCTCTCCTGCAACTTCCTTGTCCTAATTCTTTGTTCTCTTTTTCAGTTCCCTCCAGCATATGCAGGCATATCTGAAGTCAATCAACCAGCAGAGCTTATGCCTCAGTTTTCAACAATTGAATATATAGTGCAGGTAAATGAATCATAGGCAAGTTTGAAGCCCCCAGAATTGCCTTGTTTTTGACAGATTATGTATGTATTAGATTTACTTAAGGTAACGCAAATAAATAACATTTCTGCAAGGTGCTTAAGATAGGGGTCATTTTATTCCTTGGCAGGAGACATTATAAAGTGTCGCCTGGCATATGCACGTGCCTAGTAAATCTATCTCTTTCCACATTAGCGAGGTCCACAGACGCCATTGATCTTCCTGTATGTTGTTGACACGTGCTTAGAAGAGGAGGACTTGCAGGCGCTGAAGGAATCCCTCCAGATGTCCCTGAGTCTGCTGCCTGCCGATGCTCTGGTGGGGCTTATCACTTTCGGCAGAATGGTCCAGGTTCATGAACTGAGCTGTGAAGGGATTTCCAAGAGCTACGTGTTCAGAGGCACAAAGGACCTGACAGCTAAGCAAATACAGGTACGTTTTGCCATGTGTTACGCCAGTGGCTTGTTAGCTCTGTTGACACCGCTGCTAGTCTTTCAAGTTCTGAGCTCTCGGGGAGGAAGGAGAGTACACTGCTCTTAACTGTTAGCCTGTTTCCCTCCCAATATCCATCCTGTCTTTTTGCCTTTGTAAATTCCTTGGAAGCTTGTCTGAGATAGAGTTTGTGTATCTCGCATAATGGACCCATTGATCCATTCCTAATGGGAAGGCAAAGATTAATAATTTCACAGATTTTAATTTATTTATTGCTACAGTATTGCAGGCCCCTGGGTATATTGCTTGACAGCAAATAAGAAGTTCAATGTTTGAATAGTTCATCTCCTCTCCCTCCTCTTTGCTGTTCTCTAGGATATGCTTGGGCTTTCAAGGCCAGCTGTCCCCATTCAACAGGGAAGACCCCTTCAGACTCCAGAGCAACCTGTTATTTCAAGCAGGTAAGCTGCACCAACACAGCAGAAGAGCAGGGCAGATGTTTTATGCCCCTTTGGGGTCACGCTTCTAAACATGGGTTTCCCAAGAGGAGTCTTTGTAAGATTTAAATGGTATTCCCTACATCAAGTGATATGTATGGATGGACTTTACTAGAGCTGCAGGCAATGTATTAGACTTATGTAATATCTTGGTTTTGCAGTTGCAAGAACATGATTGCCATTCAGGCTAGATTTCTACTTGAAAAACAGGGTAGGTGTCTTTGGAAAGCTTGTTGCTCAGGAGTCGTTTGGAACAAGGGCCTGTCATTTTGATTGACCAGCCAATGGGGGGCCTGGTCTGTACATAACAGTCCTACATACCACCTCCTACCCCCTGACCCAGCAAGTCCAAAAAATGACTGACAGGCAAGCAGTGACCCCTGAACAGTAAAGTTATACTTGCCTCTGTTGAATACAGTCCTTTCTTTCTCAGCTCCTCTTTTTCAGTGGCAGCTGTTGTGCATTTTGGTAGACTAAATCACCATTGAAGTTCTTTCTTATGCTTTCTGTGACTTTGCCTTCTTGTCAGTTCCTGATGTCTTGCTTTGATCAATTTTTCTATTTTGCACAGGCTGGTTATCTTGGAAGTAAGAAGGCAACATGCCATGTGACTTTTTGCTTCTGATAAATATCTCAGTCCAATTTATGTGTGCCAGGAACAAGGAGGCACTTTCTTTTTTCTTTAAACTGAAAGGACTTATAAGCAGGAAAACATTTCATTTGAATTTTTGCAGGTTTCTGCAGCCAGTACATAAGATTGACATGAATTTAACAGATCTTCTTGGAGAACTACAAAGGGACCCATGGCCAGTGACCCAGGGAAATAGGCCTTTACGTTCCACTGGAGTAGCTCTTTCGATCGCTGTTGGCTTACTGGAGGTACTCTTAGTGCTGTTGTTTGAGATGAGCTGGTCAAAGTAAGCACCTGGCAGTCTTTGCTGAGATGTGTGCAGGTGTCAGTCCAGCTTGGTCTGTGGCCCACTTACCTTGGGCTGCAGAGGTGTGATTTGTCTTTATTGACTTGGCACCAGCTCGTGTAGAGTGGGCTGGGAGTTTACATCTAAATGGTAAAATATGCAGGTGTTTAAAGGTCTCTGATTCTTGTGTATATCGCTGTGTGGAGGTGATACTATGCACTGGGTTTATCTGAGGGTCAGCTAAGATGTGAGTAAAAAGAAGAGAAACTGCCTGCTTCCTGTTATGAAGACATGAAGCTTGACATAGCTTGAGTCTAAACTTGAGAGTGCTGTGACTGTCAGGAAATGCCTTGCTATTCATCAAGGCGGCCTCTAGCGGAGACAGGTCGCTAATGACGTTACAGAAACACATGCAGACACTTCTCTAAAGAAAGTATTGTTGCCATTTAATCAGTCTCTCCCTTTTTTCCCCCCGCTTTTTTTTCTTGCTGTCTCTCTGATATAAGTCTTTATTTTTATTTTAGGGCACATTTCCAAACACAGGGGCCAGAATAATGCTGTTTACAGGTGGGCCACCAACACAAGGACCGGGCATGGTGGTAGGAGATGAACTGAAAACACCCATCCGTTCTTGGCACGACATAGAGAAGGACAACGCAAGGTTCATGAAGAAGGCCACCAAAGTAGGTGCTAGCACCTGCTGGGTGTGTTTAAAAACAAAACCTGAATGTTGTGTCAGAACACTAAGTGATGGGAAAGAACATAACACAAACCTCGTACGCTGCTATGTTGACAGCTGCCCAGTGTCCTTCCCCAGGGAGCAACCATATTCCATTCTCTTGATGTGGGAACAGTATGTCCAGATACTTGCATAGTTGTTCTTGAAGTGCCTGAGACTTTTCTGTACGTTAAATTTTGAGAATGGTCAAGGGAAGGGTAAAAAAGACTTCCTCCTAGTTACTTCTGCAGCCCAGTCGTGTGCCTTCTCAGAGAAAGAAGTATTTCAGTGTTGTTTCTTAGCTGTAGGTGGGTGCATTGTTCATCATCATTGTATCTCCTCCTGGGGAGGAAAAAACCTGTCTTCTAAGAATTTGTCACTTCCAGAAAGCCTCCTTTGTCTTCCTGGTGTATGAAACAACAGTTAAAATAGTTACAAATGTGCCTGCCAGCTTAGAGGAAGCAGTATGACACCTGTTCTCTTAACTGTCACCTGGAACCTTTGGATTTCCACTAGGTTATCACAGACAGTCATCCCGTGCAATTCATGCACTCTCTGTACTTGCAACATGGAACTTAAGTTCATCCAAGTACAAACATGCTAGGAGGGAGAAGCGTGCTCCAGCAGAGTACTAAACATAAACAGGTGTGTTCTTACTACGGCACTGGTAATTGCTTTGTTTGTACCTTGTGTTTCACTTGTTGGCCTCAGCTGGAGAGCAGTAGAAAAACTGCCCATTGCAGCATCCTAAACACCGTGTATCTTTTTTCCCCAGCACTACGAGACTCTGGCTAATCGCACTGCAGCCAATGGGCATTGCGTCGACATCTATGCCTGCGCCCTGGATCAGACTGGACTGCTAGAGATGAAGTGTTGTGCAAACCTCACCGGGTATGTTCATAGCAGGAGAGCACAAATTTGGCACCTGTTTGTGGGTTTTTTAATTTTTTTTTTTTTTTTGAGGGGGAAAATGGTTCAGAAGGCAGTTAAATTTGGTGTCAGGGCAAAAGGGGGAGATTTCTTAGAATGGTTTGGGTTGGAAGGGACCTTAAAGACCATCTAGTTCCAACCCCCCCTGCTGTGGGCAGGGACACCCTCCATTAAACCAGGTTGCTCAGAGCCCCATCCAACCTGGCCTTGAACACTTCCAGGGAGGGGACATTTTTATCATTCTATTCTAAACTGTGGTTTGAATTTGCCAGGAATTATATGGCAAACCTCCCCTGATCCCAGTCCACATTTCTGAAGTCTCAAAACAGCATGTGAATTAGCACTGCTGGTAGAAAACCCGATGTCCTGCTTTGAGAAAGGTATTCTAAAGCATGGTGCAACATGTCTTTTGCAAACGCCTTCTGCCTACTTGGGAGATAGCAAGTATCCTTTCCAGAATTTTTGGGATAGAGATGCCATGCTTTGTGGTGTATGCATGACTGAAGTGCCATCAGAAGAGCAGAGTGTTAGGTGTAGTGGGTAGCAGCTTTCCATGTGTGGGCCGGATTTTCTCTGCTTAACAACTCACTTGCGCTTTCCCCAGAGATTCTTGGCTTCTTCCCTGCATCTAGTTTTAAGTGGCAGCTCTAAGGGGTGAATGTCTGTGTTCCACGTTGCTGAAAACTTTATGGTCTCTGTGAGGAAGGCTGTGTGCTAAACTGGGCCTTCTGGGGACTCAGCACGTCTTACTGGCCATTTAAAATCCACCGTGTCTAGGGAGTCAAAGGATAGTTTGAGCAAATGCAAGGTATTTGTAGATAACCACATAATCCTCAGTAAGCAGAAGAGAGATTGTTTGACCCTTTGGTTGCATTACTAAGGTCCTTCTGATCAGGCCTGGGTTTACCAGGGCACTTGTGGGGGTGCACAGAGCAGACATGTGCACCCGTCCTTGTGCTGCAGGGGTGCAGCCATTCTGTCTGTGTGGGTGGTTCTGTCCCTGCTCAGGGAAAGCAGGCCGAGCAGAGCTCTTTCCTGCGTCGAGGTGTTTCTAACTGGTGGAATATGAGCATTTTTAAGGCAGCTACAGGGATGGCAAGAAATGTAGTTGAGAAGGCAAGCTGGCAAAGATGGAGCATTAACTTGTCTGGCTTTGGAGGAGGTATCTGTGAATCTGCATTCCCTCATGTGAATTCTGCCTATGCAAAGGCATGCTTTAAAACAGTTTCTGCATGTATTTGCATGGATGAGAGTTGGAGGGATGTATCCTTTGTGCTTTACTTCTAGTTCCTAGTTGTTTCAGTTCCCTTGTGTATCATTTTTCTTTCCCAGAGGACACATGGTGATGGGAGACTCCTTCAACACTTCTCTCTTCAAGCAGACCTTCCAGCGGGTATTTAACAAAGGGTTCAATGGGGAATTTCGGATGGCTTTTGGTGCAAGTTTGGATGTGAAGGTGAGAGATTAGTTTCACTGGATGACATTAACTGGGAAATAAAAGTGCTGTTCATTCAGAAGTTGATTAAGTATTTGGGATGTAGAAAATTCTACATGTTTGAGGTCAGATGTAGTGCCTGTTTTGGGAGAAGCACTGTACTGGTGTGAGTGAAGGGATGTTTGTTTGGAAGCTTATTAAATGTGTTTTGTCTTTTTTTTTTTTTTTTTTTTAAAGCTGCTGAACTCAGCCTCTCCTCATTCAGCAAGGAACATTTCAGATTCTCTCGTGGTCACTATAAATATGTCTTCGTTATTAAAATGTGACTGTGTAGATTCTCTTACATTCACTGATTGTAGCAGTAGGTGATCTGGGAAAGTACTCAGAGATGCTTTCCCTGGCAGTCACGTGTACACGTTATCTGATCAAAGCTAAGCAACTGATTTAATCTGCATGTATTCTGTTTGACTGACTTGATGTGAAAAACCCCAAAACCTACAACTTTTTTTATCTTGTTCTAGACCTCTAGGGAGCTGAAAATTGCAGGGGCTATTGGACCATGCATATCCCTGAATGCTAAAGGGCCGTGTGTCTCTGAAAATGTAAGTTTCTGACATGGAAAAATCTTTAATAAAGAATTAAATAAACAGTGCAAAGTTTATGTCTAGACCTACAGCTCAGCTAGAATGTCAGAGTTTTCCAGGAGAAGAACAATTTGGAAACATCCCTAGGAAAAGGCAGTCTTTCCTGGACTAAATTCTTGCCCCATGAGGCTTTCTCTTAACCGTGTGTCCTTCAGTAACTTCAATCACCCAAAAAATAAGAAATCTAGAAGGCCTGCCATAACTTCTACCTCTGAGCAGAATATAACATAAGCTTGCCTTACCTGCTGCTAGAGACAAAACTGCTGCTTTCTTTTTAATTCTGCGCAGGAGCTTGGAATTGGAGGAACATCTCAATGGAAAATTTGTAGTCTGGATCCCAGCACAACTCTGGCCATTTACTTTGAAGTGGTAAATCAGGTCAGTCCTGGCTTCTCTTTTTTTCTTTTTTTTTTTTTTTTTTGGGGGGGGGTGTCATCTTTTTTACACACAAAAGTATTTGTTTGTAACAGGGCAAGGAAATCAATGACATCCTCTGTGTTGCAGATGGATGGTTGCGAAGCAACCAAGTGTTTTGTGCCAAAGAAACAGTCTCAGAGGTTGTTTTCGTATGCATAAATTGCTTAATATTTTTGTTCCGTACAAAACCTGCATTCTTTCCTTGTCTTTGTCCTATAGTATTGATTTAACAAGGAAGAAACTGTCTTTTCACCGATAGGTGCTGTGGAGAATAAAAGTATAAATACCTTCAAATTCTTGGAGAATTGCTCCTCCAAGTTGTAATAACTTGATGACTCAGAAACAACTTTTGGCTGGGGAAGTTTCTGAGCATGTGGCAGCTAGAAGCTAGGAAGGCTACCCAGAGGAATTCTATTCGCATGTGTGTGTCTTTGTCTTCTCTGCTACTTGGGCTTGTTACTGTTGGGAAGAGGATGGTGAACTTGCAGGACCTTAGCTCAGACCCTGTACTGCCATTTTTATGCTCATTGCTATTGCAATGACATGTTTCAGCTGTCCTTTAAGGAACAAGCTGATAAAGTGTCAGGCACAGCATTAAATGAGCCCGGCACCACTTGACTCTGAGGGCTGCTGGAAAACACACTAACAGATGTGTCTCTTTTCTCTGTACTTATTCTATGATTGCTCAAATGATGCCCTGGAGTTTTCTGTAGTGTACAGGGTTATGGAAAAGCCAGCCCGTTTTGAAGGCTTACCTTGTTTCATTTGCAGCACAATGCACCAATACCGCAGGGAGGCAGAGGGGCAGTGCAGTTTGTCACTCAGTATCAACACTCCAGTACGCAGAAACGCATTCGTGTCACCACCATAGCCAGAAAGTAAGTATCTCATGCCAGTTCTTTGGCAGAAACTGCAGTCTGTGCTGGATTTTTTCTAGCTTTTTGTTGCATGTATTGGCTGCAGAGTATTTGGCACAGGGAAGACGAATCTGGTTTGGGTTTTGCTGAAAGTGAATGCATGTAACACTAACCTTTTACTAACCCTATAGTTGGGCAGATGCACAGAGTCAACTCCAGCATATAGAAGCTGCATTTGACCAAGAAGCAGCTGCTGTGCTGATGGCACGGCTGGGAGTATACAGAGCTGAATCTGAGGAGGGACCTGATGTTCTGCGATGGCTGGACAGACAGCTGATCAGGCTGGTAAGACCAACAGACTGCAGTTGGGCACAGTCTTGATTTTAGTAAAAATGGTCTCTGGAAATGAAAATGCCATTCTTTTTCCAGATTGACTGACTTCATTTCTGCTCTGCTCATGGTAACGTACTTGTAGTACATGATAGCTCAGAAGCTAGTGTGATCAGCAGATTTGTGATGGGCTGGGTAAACATCCCATCATGCTGAAAGGGTTAAACCTGAGATTAAAGAGCAACATGACTCCCTGATCCCAGTCTTCACCAGGCTGAAAAAATTCAGCTGCTTCAGCCTCTCTTTCTACATGAGGTGCTCCAGCCCCTGACCAGCCTGGTGGCTTCTGCTGAACTCACTCTAGTATATCCATGTCTGTCTTGCACCGGGGAGCCCCAAACTGGACACAGCATTCAGATGTGGGCTCACTGGTGCCAAGTTCAGGGTAGTAATCACTTCCACAACTCCATACTCTCTCTTTCTTTGAATTTCACAGGCTTGAATTGCCTAAATCGGTTCTGGCTTTGTCCAAGCACCCACGTGGAGTTGATACTAACAGATACGGCACATTAGACACTGAAAAAAACAGGGCCAGTATCAAATAAAGATTTGAGCACCAAAACACACATGGCATGCTGAAACAATTGTGGAGTTGTAGTTAAATTGCTAAAACCATTGATGCTTCTTATTTTCAGTGAAAGCAGTTGGTGAAATGCCAGTCTGCTGCTGCTCTAGAAGGCAGTAAAATTGCTGCGAAGTGTTTCATAGTGTATGAAGCAACTTAGGTATAACATAGTATCCTTGATTTAATGGAAAAAATTGAGTAGTACTAGAAGCAGTATATCTTTCATTCTTGGATAATTTCAAATCTAGATTTAATATATATATAAAAATA